CTTTGTGAACATTGCAATGATCAGTCAAGTATGATACTTGTCCTTGTAGAGATCAGTTCTTTCCTGCAAATGAAGGTACACATGGAATGCTAACACTTTGACTGTTGCTTTGGGGTTTCAATACAGCTGGGAGTCTTCTTATGCTGGGAGCCTTAACTGGTATAATTTTGATTTATTCAGCATTGCAGAAGAGCACTGTTCTTTTTGTATCTGTTTAATTTGAGTATCTACAGTCTAAACAGGGATAGAAATTCAGGGTCTGGTGAATAATTGAAAATTCACTATTTATTTCACAGGATTTTGCTGTTAATTGCAGTTCTGGATCTGCAGATTTCTCTTGATCAGAAAAAAGCTCTTAAGAATAAATAGTGTGTCTAAATTCCCTTTTATGGGATGAAATCCTAAGCACACATATGGATGTAAATCCTATTGAACAGATTAGCTTGCAGTCAATAAGAAAATACCTCCCTGTTTGATTTCTCCAAATGTTTTTTTTTAAAAAAAAACTGGATTTGCTTTTGCTTTGTTAGTCATTGCTTATCCATTTGTACTCCTGCATTGTCACACACTCTCTACTTTCTTTCATTGTGCTCAAGTAGTGCTAAATGCTGCCTCAAAAGTGCCTTCCCTGTTTGTTCAAGAGGATGAGAGGGCAATCGTAAGCACAAGAAGGTGGCATGAATTAAGCCATCATAAATTAAGTGGGGGCAAAATATGCCAGATCCACACTCTGTTCAGAAGTAGGGCTGCTGCTGGTTGAGCAGGTATAAGCCTGGGAGAGGGAAAGCAAACTTTAAATAGTGTTTGAGTTACACCACCCTTTTGTCTGGTTCCCAGGTCACATGATCTTGCTGAATGGGTTTGGATGTACTGTAGTCTAAGTCCCCTTCCCTTCTGCCACACCCACACCACACTGCTTTTCCAAGGCTTGCACTGGTTTAAGATCCACATGGGTCCTGGCTGAGCTGACTTGGAGGAAATACACCGGTGTTTTTCTGGCTGAGAACTTAAGTTAGTGTAGCCCTGTTGAGCTGGAAACCTCCCGGCTCAGCTAATGATGTACCAGGTCTTCACTCACGCCAGCAGATTTGGCATTAGGACTGCACCCTAGGTCTAGTAATTATTATATTGACTTAATGTACATCTTACTCTTCCCCCTTTTCTGATATATGTGGGAAATAATTTAAATCCTGACCAAGGAAATTTGTCCCTATGCTGATATCAAACTTTTTCAACACTTGAAAGCACTTTATCAATGTTTATTATTTAATATTGAAATCAAATGTCTTTAGGGCAGCTAGAAGAAAAGGGCATCTGAAAACAAACCACTTATTCAATCCTAAAGCTGCAATCCTAAACCCAGTGGGACTTACTACTACATAATCATGCACAGGATTTTCATAATTTAAGAGGGGATTATATTTTTTTTGCATCATGCCTAGAAACCACCCCTACTGCTAGAAGACAGTATTGAGGAGCCACTGGGAAGTACTCTCTGCAGACAGAGATGTCTTGTTTAGCCATCAGTCAGTCAGCTGTTCTTAACCTGAAAGGTTGTGTCTAACAGGATGTAATTTCCAAGTGTTGCTAAGGCCCCGAGAGTCAGATCAGAGTTCAGTGGCGTGCCAGCCTAGTTCATGACTTCATTGCTTTGGCTACTAGTGAGGGCACAAATCATCTGGAGGACCTGCCAACTGCCTACCAAGGAGTTAGGCTTACTGTGATCAGCAATTGCTGGCAGTTCTAACTGCCCAAGTGAAATGATGCATTTAGTACTGTAACTTCCAAACCATCCATAATTCTTTGCTAAGAGAGAGGAAAACAATAACACACAAAAAAGCTTCCCGTTCTCCCTGTACTCCCCCACCTCCCGTACTCCCCTACTAGTAGTAGCAACAAACTACTATAATGGTACAAAGCTGTATGAAAATATTTTAGTCTCTGATGTGTTAGGAGCCTGTGCTCTTCTTTGGGGATCACAGAAACCATTGGCGTATATTAGCATATATTAGTATATTAGCATTGGACACAGCCACAAGATTTGTGTTGTATCTGTAGCTTTAAACACTTTAAGATTCAGATCTGTTTGTGTGTTATTTTGTGGTCTCATCACTTCATTTTGTGGTTTGGGTTCCAGGCTACTCTGTGTAATCTAAAACTCTGTGGCCCCCATTCACCATAATGGGGAATCCAAAAACAGCTATAATGTTTTCCTTGACCAAAATGGATGGAATAGTTGGGCGGGGTATAAATAAAAAATATATTATTTATTACATGGAAGCTCATTAAGACTGTATTAGACCTGCCAAATTGCAGATAAATAGGTCCAGAAGCTTTTAGTGGGAGAAATGATTCATTTCCCTCCATAATCCTTCATGAGTAGGGGAGAGCACAGGGGATGGGTGGGAGTCTTGTTCTTTCTCACCTTAAAACAATTAAGAAGTGGTCAAGTGATGTGTATTCTTGCTTGTACATGTTTTAAAAGTTTGAACCATCACTCCAGCTTTCCCATTCCACCTGTTTTTTGTGCAATCCAGAAGGCTTCCTGTAATGTATTTTTTGTGATTTAATTGTTTTATCTTTTTGTAAACCACTTTGAGTTTTTTGTTCACATCAAGCAGTGCATAAATTTTATGAAATTAAATGAATAAATGTTGGCCTGTCTGGTTTGCCATACTAGGAATTTTCTGAGTCAGCTCTCAAGCATTGTAGTTTCAGTTCTGCATTACAAAGTGCAACCTCCTGGTTCCCCCTCCATAAACCATTTGTGTTAGAATTATTTCTGTTTATGTATCCTCTGTGTGGCCTTCTCTTCATGATGCTTTTCATCTCTAGTACATCTTACAACATGAGACTGCCTGGAATGCTGCCTGTAGAGTTCTGATTAGCAATTTGTTTATTTATTGTTAAAGTAGAGCAATGTATGTTTGTGTGTTTTTTTATAAAAAGCTGAAATGAAGCTTTTGGGGTTGTCGTTTCTTTAAAAATCCTCCACTGCTATTCTTTAACAAAAAAAGCAAAGCCCACAGAAAAGCTAGAGAAAGATAAAAATATATAGTAAAACACAGAACTATACAATATAAAAAAAGTCCAGAAACAAAGCAACAGAACGACACAAGGTTTTGTGAGCACCCTGACATTGCCCTTCAGGAAGGCAGCAAAAAATCCCAGTTCACCTCATTAGTTGGCCCACGCAGAGCCAATGCACACCCCTAACATGTTTTCTTGACAAAGGCCTTAAGAGCAGCATTTTTCTTAAATTCATTAGAAATTCACATTGTTTCGGTAAATATGGATACAGTCATCAGAGTTTGTTGGTTCTCATCAAAGCAGAAATTTGTGGTTTTTAAATAAAATTTTGCTTTGTTGGTATATACACGGTGCACACTGGAGAAAGTTAACTATGCCAAAGTCCCACTGAAATTAATGGGATTTTGGAACTTCCCGTGCTTAGTTCACAGTGCATCATCAGCATGCTAAACTTTCCCTGGATTGTGTCCTCTGTGTTTTGGTTACAATGATCACTCCTCTATGGAACTATTGTGTCACAGAATGTCACAGAAAATGAGCCCTTGGGTTTTAGATTTTATGTGGTATAAATGCTAAGAGTGTCAGATAGGAAACCAAGGTTCAAATCCTCATCAGCCATGAAACTCTCTGAGCGATCTTGGCTCTCTCAGCTTGGCCAGCATCATGAGTTTGTTGTGAGAATAAAATGGGATGGGCAAGAACTCGGTACATTGAGCTGAGGTGCTTGAGTAAAGGGTATGAAAATATAATAAATAGTATTGTAGCTCTTTTAATGGGGCACCATCACTCACACAAGAAGTTGCATCATTGTCCACTTTGAATGGCAAATTGGCAGTAGCATGCTCTACTTAATACCATTTTAGGATAGTGCAATTACAAAGAAGGGGTGAATGGGTATGTTTATTACCTGAGATGTTGATACTTAAAAATATCCTGAAGGGGGAGAACCTCATTTATCTTACATAATGAACAGCAGTGTGTTATACTTCTGATTTTTTCTAAATTGAAACATTTCATTTAGACTATATATAAATGTTTATTACTGCCTTTCTGCTCCAGGAACCAAAGAATACCATAGCATATATCTGTGTTAGCTATGTCAACAGTAAGATCTAACTAATTCCATCCAAAGTTTGGTGCTAGAAGAAATACTGGATCATTAATGTTAATGAAACGTGCAAACAGTTAAAAAAACCCACAAGTATAGCTTTGGACTGGATTTATGGAGATAAGAATTTGATCAACCTTCAGATATTTCTTCACTGAATCTCAGGACTACCACTTTTCATTCTTAACTATATTGGCCTCTCAATCCTAAACACATTTATTTTGATGTACTCCAATTGATTTCTTTCTCAAACCTCCTTCTAAATAAGCTTGCTTGAATCATAGCCTTGGTCCTTATGTATCCTGACCTCTGTTAAATTCTTCTTCCAAAGAGCAAGTTGTCAGAATGGCATAAATACTTAGGCCCTAATTCTGCCAAGGATTTAAACACTCTCATTATTCATGGTAAAGAGGATGACTCTTTTTCAGAAGTACAAAAAAGAAAAAGGTTTGACTGCCTGTGATTATAAAGGAAATTAAGGCTACAATGCCAAAAAAAAAAAAAAATACTTACTTGGGAGTATGCCCTATTGAATTCAGTGGGATTTTCTTGTAAATATAAATGCATAGACTTGTGTAGCAAGTTGCAGCAATCTTACCTTTTACTCAATATCTCCTATGTCAGAGGCATTATTCCAGAAGGAAGTGGTTAAAAAAGCTGAAACTAACTCAAAGCATGCCTACTCAGTGAGAAATAACTTACTCCCATGTAAGTGTGGAGCCTAAGTTCACTCTGCAGATTTCTGAAAACAGTAGCTGATAGGGTAAGAAGGCTCCCTGAAAAGGTAAGGAGGCTCCCTGGCCCTGTAATTCAAGCAGGTCATGTGATAATTGAAATTATATTCCATATCCTTTCCCCCTAGGACCAATTGTACCACAACCTCAAACGTGTGGCAGTGAGAGATTCACATGCAGCTACGTAAAGCAGTGTGTGCCTCTTTCTGCAAAGTGCAATGGACTGGAAGACTGCACTGATGGGACTGATGAAATGGCCTGCCCTACTGAGCAACCTACCACAGGTTCCCCAAGACATTGCAAGGAAGCGGAATTCCAGTGTGCTAACCAGTCGTGTATCCCATCACTCCTGAGATGCGATGGTGTGGCCGACTGTAGGTTCAATGAAGATGAAGCCAATTGTCGTAAGTTCATTGTATACAAAAACTACAAACCGAAATCAATGTAAAATATTATGATTCTATGGGTAATGTTTGATTTATTTATTTTTACTTAACCCCCTGCCCACTGTTGTTGTTTAGTCATGTCCAACTCTTCGTGACCCCATGGACCAGAGCACGCCAGGCATTCCTGTCTTCCACTGCCTCCCGCAGCTTGGTCAAACTCATGTTCCTAGTAGCTTCAAGAACACTGTCCAACCATCCCATCCTCTGTTGTTTCCTTCTCCTTGTGCCCTCCATGTTTCCCAGCATCAGGGTCTTTTCCAGGGAGTCTTCTCTTCTCATGAAGTGGCCAAAGTATTGGAGCTTCAGCTTCAGGATCTGTCCTTCCAGTGAGTGCTCAGGGCTGATTTCCTTCAGAATGGATAGGTTTGACCTTCTTGCAGTCCATGGGACCCTGCCAACTAGTATAACATGATATTGAATGTTGGCAGGGGGTTGGACTCGATTGCCCTTGTGGTCTATTCCAACTCTATGATTCTATGATTCTATGATATGTCACATGGACGAATAACAAAGATAAGTCCCAGGGGTCTTTAGAAATTCCCAGTGCACCCTACAGCAATCTTATCACATTTGAGGCAAATTATAATTTATAATTTGCCTCAATTATTATTGAATCATCAGGGCTAGGAAACTGATGGTTAAAGGTCTGACTTGGTCATAGTCTCTACTTGAAACAGCAGAATAGGAATGGATCCAGCTACTACATATTCTAAACATTTGCAGCATCCATATAATAACAGATCAGTCTTGTGCATATAAAGAGTCTACATTTCCCTGCCCTCTGATGTTATTAAGAAGTGGAATTGACTTTTAGGGGATGAAAAATTAAAGGCATGGCTCCATGATACCCTCCCACATAACAAATTTCTTCCTTGAGTTTAAACCATTTGGGTTGAATACCTGTGATAAAGACATCTTTGTGTGCACGCGTGTGCATTCTTGGACTGATGGAAGTTTCAAAATAGTTAAGATAATTTTATTAGAGATAAAAAACCAAAATAAGGTATGCAACTCAGTTACTGGCAAGACCAAGTAGAGGCGTATGTATGCCCACTGGGAGCCACTCAAAAGAGTTAATTTAATTTAGAATACTGTTTATACAGTATATTTGGAATACTGGCACTGGAGGTAAGCCCATTTGCATGTATGGCAATTTTGGTGGTTCAAAAATGACGAGTAAAGAAAAGAAAAGATGACCTCACTCCAGAGTTCTGTATATATACAAATGGGTGCATAAATCTACTTGTATGAGTGGACTTGCTCATTTACTTCAGGGGAGGGAGCAGCTATTTTTCTGAATCCCTTTGTGCTGCCTCTCATGGAAGCGAATGAGATAGCACTTACAGATAGAACTTATTTCTGCTCATGCTTCTGCAAGAGAGCACAAATAAGAAAATCTCATCATATTAATAGATCTGGGTTACAATTCTAAACTCAGTTTTCTAGGAGTAAGCCTTGTTAAATTCAATGGGACTTAATTGTGTGTAAATTTATATAGAGATTACACTGTTAGGCAGCAATCCTGTGCACACTTACCTGGGGAAAAGTCCTATTAAAAATATAAAAATAGTATGCTGTAATCTACTGAAAAGCAATATACCATGTTCTATTTCTTTTTAGTATTAACGTGCTACACATTTGTATTAAATGTTTGCGACTGTCATGACGGCTGGCAGACATATAACACTGCTACATGTGTGTGTTTTACGTTATCTATCCTGAACTAGCAAGCCATGTGGCTCCTATCATTTAATGCATATTGTTTCCCTTCCTGTTATAAATTCCTGATCTGTACCGCAAGCCACCTAGATCCTTTTCTGAGTTTTGAGCCCCAGTTTTTATTGAGTGAAAATTCCTTTCCCAGACCAGGCACTAGACTGGGGTGGTGCAGTTGAATATGTTCTGCAGAGATAAAACTTAAATCCAGAATGAAAAGGGAGGCAATCAGAAAATCTTTCACTCAGATCTTTGTAAACCCTCATCTCCACTACTACTGCCACCACAAAATTCTTGCCATGTGTGATTTAAAGATTTGTGTAGACAGGAGGATTCCAGCAGTGCTGACAGAAGAGCTTGATAGTAGGGTATATATGTTAATGTTGCATTATAGCGATTAATATGGTGGATTTTATTTCCTGCTCTGTCTTCCAGAAGCATGAAATTACTGCTTATGCTTACAAATGTTGTACTTAGCCAGTCCTTCCACCATCCCAAATTCTTACAAAGAGGATATAATCTCACTTATTTATTTTATTTTTTTAAACTGCATGATTTAAAACAGAGAAGGAATAAAAATTGAATTAATGGTAGGTAGGTATACATTGCTCATTTGCCCAAGTAGAGTGTGGCTTCACTGCTGACAGCAATGACTGAAAAATTATTTTCCTGCCCTTAATAGGATCTGGGTTGTATCCCCATAAACCTTGAAAGACAAACAAAGTGTTAATGAATTTTATTTTATTTTTAAAGGGCTGAGTCTGTTTTCCCCTACCTCCATCCCCTGTGGTGGAAACAAGTATAGTTGCACCCACAAAAACTTCATTAGCATTCAGGATCCAACTAAATGTCATATTAGCATCATGAAACATTAATAGGATGGTGTTAATTGTCCCTCACAAAAGTCACTTTTAAGTATCAGAGAACCTGGACTGCATGCAATATTCATTAACTGCAAAGCAAGAAATGCAACTTAAGTATAAACATTAAAACAGCCAGAGAATTCTAGAGTTACAGTTAAGTCCTTGCCAATATCTTAACTATATGCAGAGAATAAAAGCTGCTCAGACCTCATTCCTGAGCAGTCCCTCGTTCTGAATAGTCACATATGGCGGACTCAACAGTTGACATAAAGGAGGATGTTTCTGCACACAGAATAACTGTATCAGGTGATAGATTGCTGAGAAACTTGTAGCGATTTGGATCTGTCTGTGACAAACTTTCCTTGAGTATCCATAAAAACAACGAAAATAGCCAAAGTCTCCTTCTAGGTTTGAGCATTCCTGTAAATACTTAGGGTAAAACTGTACACAGTTCCCTACAGGATTGTCTTTGTGGTTACTGGGGCCATCTGATTATTTCAGAAACCTACCTTACCCCTACATAAATGTTTGGTGTCCTTAGAAGGGTGTTGGTTCCATCGCTGAGTGCTGCCTAGCTGATGTCAGGGCCTTCTCAGTACTGGTCCCCCATTTACAGAATGCACCTCCTGGTGAGGTGCATCTTCTCCCCTCGTTTTTTTTTAGTATAATGTTTTATTAATTTGTAGTAAAGTAACATCAATCAAGTCCAACAAAACATGTAGAGTGTTACATGTCTATATCAATTGCACGTGAAAAGAAAAGTTGAGCGGGGACATAGTAAAATAACTAAATTATTAAGTGCATTGTGAAGGCTTCAGCTATCTGTTACATAATCTCTCCTTAAGCATGAGTGGCTGGATGTCTTACATTAACATCATTTCTATTTACATAGTTGATATACGGAGACCATAACTTATCAAAATGACCGTGTTTAGTTTGACTTCTTACAACCCTTCTGTGTTGCATTAGTGCTTGGAAAGAGCCAAACCCCAAACTTTCCCTTGCCATCCCTTCAGAGTTTGTCCCCTTTGTTATTAACATTTAGGTGGAATTTTAAAATATTCCTGTACAGTGGTACCTCGGGTTACATATGCTTCAAGGCTTCAAGTTACATACGCTTCAGGTTAAAGACTCCGCTAACCCAGAAATAGTGCTTCAGGTTAAGAACTTTGCTTCAGGATGAGAACAGAAATCGTGCTCTGGTGGCGCGGCGGCAGCAGGAGGTCCCATTAGCTGAAGTGGTGCTTCAGGTTAAGAACAGTTTCAGGTTAAGTATGGACTTCCGGAACGAATTAAGTACTTAACCTGAGGTACCACTGTATTTGGTTGCTGAAATATATTGCTTGTAATTGTGATACTATTTGATCTTTATTCTTATAATTAAATGCTGAAATAATTTTCATTTTTCTGTTGTGTGCATTATGCTTTTCATTCTCACCATACTTCCATTTTACACACACACTACAAGAATGTTTTGCTTGTTTGGATAGTGTTTAGTGATCATGGAAAGGTTGTTTTCTGCTGCTCCAGAGAAGTGGACACGGGGCAATGGATCCAAACTACAAGAAAGAAGATTCCACCTAAACATTAGGAAGAACTTACTGACTGTAAGAGCTGTTCGACAGTGGAATTTGCTGCCAAGGAGTGTGGTGGAGTCTCCTTCTTTGGAGGTCTTTAAGCAGAGGCTTGACAACCATATGTCAGGAGTGCTCTGATGGTGTTTCCTGCTTGGCAGGGGGTTGGACTCGATGGCCCTTGTGGTCTCTTCCAACTCTATGATTCTATGATTCTATGAGGAACTGATTCTTTTAGGAGCATAAAGGTACCCCTGCCCGTACGGGCTAGTCTTGCCAGACTCTAGGGTTGTGCGCCCATCTCACTCTATAGGCCGTGGGCCAGCGCTGTCCGGAGACACTTCCGGGTCACGTGGCCAGCGTGACATCGCTGCTCTGGCGAGCCAGAGCCGCACACGGAAACGCCGTTTACCTTCCCGCTTGTAAGCGGTCCCTATTTATCTACTTGCACCCGAAGGTGCTTTCGAACTGCTAGGTTGGCAGGCGCTGGGACCGAACGACGGGAGCGCACCCCGCCGCGGGGATTCGAACCGCCGACCTTTCGATCGGCAAGCCCTAGGCGCTGAGGCTTTTACCCACAGCGCCACTGTTTAATATTTTAAATGCTATAGTATTATTCTAAAAATTGTCTCATATGCAGAATCAATATGGATTAAAGATCTTAATCACGGCTAAATAAAGGATTCTTTATGGAGATTACACAAAGTGAAAAGGGGGAATCATAAATGTAAACAACAATAAAAATACAATAAAAATATTTAAGAACAATTATGAACAATTAAAACTGTCACATACTCTCAGTTAA